CTGACAAGGAAAGGACTGATGGGTTTTAGAAACTGAAAATTTGGTCAGAATGAGCTGTTTATCTCCTTGGAGCGGTCGATGTCTACGTGCACATAAACATGGCCCATAGGAGATGCTCTTATGCAGAAGGGAAGATCCAGCATCTTAGTATGCACGATTGAGAGGCTAGATAGACACTGTTTGTAGCTTCCTCCTGTTGTTCATTAACTGGCTTGCCTCATTGGCTCGTGCAGCACCTGGCTCTGCCTATACTTCCTGCCTAGCTACCTACCAGTCAGTTCTTCATTAACCAATGAGAATAATACATATTCACAGTGTACAAAGGATGATTCCACAGCACTCGACCCCTCTTTTTATCCCTGAATTACTTAGGCTGGCCTTAAACTTGCTTATATACGTACTTTGACTAAGTGCTTTAGCTGCCGAGGTAGCTAGGACTGCAAGCCTGCACCACCATGCACAGCTGTGTTCAATTTCAAATCCCTTGTAATTTATTAACCATTTTATGTACATACATTATAGTGCAATGTCAGGTGATAAGAAGTTGCTGTAAAAGAGTCATTTTTTGAGTGTATGTTTAAATCAGTTACAAATGGCTCACCGCTGCTATTTGAGTAGACTCTTCTAGGAGAAAGCTCAGGGCATGCATTGCTCTGAAGGAAATTGGATATTAAAATTCCTAAGTCCCAAGTCAGTGGTACATTTTGCCCAAATACCCATGGATTCTGCATTCTGGGATTAAACCATCCGTGGACCACAAATATCCAGAAAATAGTGTACTTGCACACATTACCCTTTCCATCTTTCCTTAAACAATGTATCATAACAGCTATTAACAAAGGGATACAAATGACAGAGAGAAAAGTACTTAAACCATAGAGGACCAGCACTTGGTATTACAAATAGCTCAGAGATGAGTTCCCATTTATAAGAGGCTTTGCATTGATGATATGTAAGTACTACAGTATATGATGTATAACAAACTTGATCACCTAATGGACTTCCTGTCTATGGAGGTCATGGATCCAGTGGACACCAAGACCCAGCTGTGCTTGGAGACATGAAATTAGAAAGAAAAACCCATAGGGAGAGCACATGAAAACATGGAATCAGACTTGGGGCAAAAGGCTAAAGAGGACCATGGTTTTCCCAGTGTCGGGCAGGTATTTTCAAGAAGATGCAATGTGGAGATGCCAGAGGGAGGATCTGTAAGCACAGGGCCTCGTGGTGTGCTGCGTGTGTCCCTGGAGAGTCACTTCTCACCCTCTGTGCCTTCCCATGTCCTCAGTACAGCATGCTATGCTCACAAAGGTGGGCACAGAAATGGATCGCACCCTTAGGACCCAATCCTATAACAACACCTAGCATATGTGAGCTGGAAAAGCATACTCAGGAAATTGAACCACGGGGAACCCGGCCTTACCTGATGACACAGACAAATGTCTGAAGGGCCGTCCTGTTCAGCAAAACGTTGACAATGGAAATGCTTCATACTTAATTTGGGCCAGTCAGCGGGGCAGCCATCAGCCACATGTGGTTACTGTACACTTGAAAAAAATAGCTACTGTGGCTAAGAAAAAATTTAAATCATCGACATTTAAAATCAAAATTCTAATTGAGTGAATCAAAATTAAACTCAAGGGATTTAGATGTGTTGAAACTTAACTCGTATATGTGCCAGTAGTCTCTGGCGGTTAGACTGCCTCACTGGAGAGATGATTTGTGGGCTCCATGAGCAAGTTTGGTTTAGAGTAAAAGATATATGTGACTATGGGTCACATGGGTCAGCCCATAAATCTTGTAAATACTAACTCTAACCTTAGATATGTCACTCACCATTCCTTGGCCTGAATGTCTTCACAAAATGGACATCATAATATTTATGTTTAGTGGCCTGTGTCAACTAAAAACAAAGCGTGTGACTTGCCTAACGGACTAAGTACTTAGGAGACGGCAGCTATTAGAGCTAAGCTAGGTCCTGGATGCTGTCTGCACACACCCATCTCCATCCTGAGCATCTGCAGGAGTGCAAAGTAAACTGTGAGGCCGAAGCACTGGATAAACCCGGGGCTGTGACCAACGGTGAACTGACCACCAACACAGTCTTCCCATCTCTGCTTGCTGGCCGCTGGCCTTTCTCTCCGGGGGTATGGCTTCTAACCCATCCCCCCACTCCTGAAACGCATTCCTCTCCTCCTGTTTTTTTTTTCTATAACTTCAAAATAACTGTTGAAGAGAAAAGACAAATGGGGTTCGTGCAACCGATAGCTTTAATTTTACATACAATCCAAAGTTAGAGGAGTCTGGTCTGAGGGCTGAGGCTTTTCCATAGAAGGAAGAGCACAGGTTAACCTCAAACAACAATCACACACTCTTGAGAGAAGTCAAAAATAAGCTTTTGCATCATGCTTGTCTTCTCCTGGTTTAGGTAATTTTGAAACCAGACAGAAACCATTCTGTGATACTGTGCTCCTAGGGGAAGTTCTGGACAAACAGAGCTTGCCTGAGCCCATCCTACGTAGAACTTACTGGGCCCTGTCAATGGTGTTGGAGAACTCTACTTGTTTGGTTGAGGTTCTCCTTGGAGAATCATAAACACTCGCCCAGATGCTCCTGGACTGGGCTTGCACACCCTGGCTCTTTTTGGTCGCCTGTAATCTGCTGAGTCATGATTTCTTCCATGCCTCTCCTGCGCGAGGCACATCTGTTTTCAGTACATTGGTTTTCAGCTCACGGGCCTTTATATTTTTAAAATTTCACTAGTGATTGAAAGACCACATTCTCACTGACGCAGAGAAACAACGAGGGCCCTGATCTCTCCTTTTAGAGGTCGTATTATTCTCCCACACGAAATAAATCCAGCAATCAGGCAGCGGCTGCTGCTGAGAACTGCCTCTGAAAATGCTTGTCTGAGTACTTTCAGAGACAAAAACCTTTGTGAGGCAAATGAATCCCACACAGAGGCCCATGGCCCACTTCCCTGGGACCATACTTGGGCACAGGAACATTCCTCGCTCAAAGGTTAGCCTTGTCAGTCCCCAGAACAGAACAGAGTAGCCCCACAGATTTGGTCTGGAAAAGACAAATCCTGGATGAGTAGACAGTGGGAACTAGTAAAAGTACATCTTATTGTGCTAACTGAGAAGACAGGAAACTTACTAGGAGGTTCTGGTTATGACATTATTCCTTGCCTCTTGTTCTCTGGCCACATGTCTTTTTGGGTTCGCATTATGGTAAGAACAATTTGGGTGCATTAATTCTTCACTGAAAGTAAGATGACCATCAATGAGAACCTTAATCCTATTTAAACCCAGGAGTGTGTTTAAGTGACTTTTAGGCCTATACTTTATTATCAAGAAATACTTTGATTTGGGCAACACCAAAGCTAGATAGAAGTCACTAGTTATGTTTCTGATGTCCAAAGCACAGGATAATCTTTTTAAAATTTTTTTGTTTGGTTGGTTTTGGTTTTTTGAGACAGGATTTTGCTGTAGCTATCAAGCCTGTCCTGGAACTAGCTCTTGTAGACCAGGTTGGCCTCGAACTCACAGGTATCCTTCTGCCTCTGCCTCCCGGATTAAAGGTGTGGGCTACCACAGCTAATCTTTTAAGATTTTGTAAGTCAACATTTTGACAAGGAGCCTATGGCAACACTTCCTGAGCAAGAAAGACAATTTGCGGTACACATCCTTAGACACCCTATCCAGATACTTCAGATAGGGCTTTGAGAATTTGGTTGATATGTGGGTTTCTCTGGCTTTCTTGCTTCAGGTTTTCTTCTGACTTGGCTTTGTTCTTTGGTTGGGTACCCTCAGCTGCTGCAGGCTTACCTGACACAGTTAGGAGAGAGAGCCATGATTCTTCCTGAGTAGATGATGTCCTCCAGCCTCCCATCTCCATGTCCGGGGGACGGGATACACTTTCCTTGGCTATCCTGGGCACCTGAAATGGAGGTTTGTGTCTCATACACAATGGGTTGAGGCAAGGAGCAAATAAAGGCCAGGAAAAAAATAAGCAAAATTGTGTGTGTGTGTGTGTGTGTGTGTGTCGGGGGTGGCTGGGAGGGTCTGCTCTGGCTGGAAACTGCCTGCCTTCATTTGCTATGGTAATAATGAAAAATAGCTGTCACTGGAGTTGGAGGAGGAACGGAGGCTACAGTGTAATTTGCTGCTGAGGAACTCATTTGCATGCCAAAGTTCCACTCAAAGCCTAGCGTTAAGTCACTTATTAACACAATACTCTTGTAAATAGGCAGAAATTTATTATGGAAATCTGACTGTTAGTTTATAATTTCTGACCTAGAAGGAGTTAAGAGTTGAATAATTTAAACACATATAAATGGTCTTTCCGAGAAAAACCATACAAATGTCGTCACACTTCAAAGTACTAAGGGTTAAAAACTGAGACATTTTGCATAATATTTTTGAGAGAAAAGTATTTTGACCCCGCAAACTCCTTTAAATTCGATCATTTGGATAAGCATGGATTTTTAACTTTTAGATTTCCTATTAGCGAAGCTCAGACTGTGCTTACTCTTACTGAATGCTTCCTGCCCATGGAGAACACCCTGCTACCAACCACGTGGAGTCAGATGGGCGCCAAGATCTTCAAGAAGGCGCTCTCAGGTGGGCTCATGGCATCTGCATACAGGTTCTGGGTACCAAGCACAGACCGGTCTGTACTGTCCTGGCGTGGGAGAGTCACATCCCTGGTAGCTTCTCAGGGGTGGCAGCAGTGGGGCACAGGGTGGGCGTGGGACTGGTGGGAGCAGGGCGGGGTACATGTGGGCGGGGTACATGTAGGGGGGCGGGGAGGAGAGCAGGCTGCGGAGGGGATGGGGCGGGAAGGTGGGCTGGGGGCGGGGCGCTCCTGGGGGCGTGCTGGCTGCGTGGGGACAGGAGCTCTGGGCCGCTGCAACTGGCTCCAAGTTCCCTCCCCAGCTCTCCGGCGGAGCCTGCCTGAGCCCGCCCCTCTGTGCTGAGGTGCAAACGCGGCGGCGGTCAGCCCAGCCCTCCGTTGCCGCGCGGTCTAGGCCCGTTCGGCCCCTGGGGTCCACTCGGATCCGGGCGGTGAGGACCCGGCGGCCGCTTCACGTCGGCCTGCAGTGCCCCGCGGGGCCCAAGCTCCTCCTCGCGGTCTCCGGAGCCTGGTGCCGGGCCTGGCCGCCTTGCAGGGGCGGGAGCGCGGCGAAGGTAAGTTGGGGCGCTGGCGGCTGGAGAGTTCGGCTCAGGGTCCTGCTCCGACCGGGCCAGGGCGTCTGGAATCTCGGCCTCGCTGTCCGCCTTGCGCCCGGCTGCGAGCCCCGGGCTGGCGGCGAGGCCGAGGCTGGGAAGGAACGCTAGCTGCTGAGGAGAGGGTGGGTGAGGAGGCGGCGGCCCCTGCCCGTCTCCGTGCTGCGTCCCCATGCTGGGCATCCCGTGGGCGCGCCAGTGGGCTGCTAGTTCCTGCGGGAATGCAGATCCCAGGGCTTTGAAAGTTTGTTTGCTCCCTCCTCTCCCCCCCCTCCCCCAGCACACCACACACACCCTCCAGTCCTCCCACAGCTCGGTTGCCTCTTCTTTCTTTGAAAACATGCAGGTTGGGAATAGATAAAATTGGTCCTGCCTCACTCGTGCCCCTGTCACCTAGCGCCACTCGGTACTTGGCGACAATGCCAGGCTGTGGGCAGCTGGGTGTCTGCGCTGCCCTCCTTTTGTTAGAGCCTGACGGTGTAAGCGGCAGTGGCCAGTCTCTGCATCCTGGCTAGTGGAGAAGGAAGAGGAGATAACTTTGCTTTATTACTTCCCAAAGTGGGAATAAAGCCACCTGACGCCAGCTTTTTTTTTTTAACCCTTTCAAGCTGCTATTCGGATTTATTGAACGCCACCCTCTCTCCAAGAAAGACCAGGCGTTCTTTCCTGCCTAAGATTCAGACAAACTCCGGGTTTCCCCACAGCCAAGTTATGTCCTGTGCAAATCTGGTGCACATCTGTGACAACAGTGCCTGGCTGGCTTGTGAGGACCGCCGAGTCTATTTTTACAGAGAAGAGTATGATAGCCGAATCAGCATTTTTTCAGTATGAATAATACGACTTCCATTTTCATTTCCTCTGTTGGTGCTAAAGAGTTATTTAGCACCCACCATGCTAAGTCATGTGACCGTACTGGGTAGTTGCTGTTGTTATTGTTTGTGTTCATTTTGTGCTATTGAGACCTGCTCATTCAAATGAGGTATTTATTATGCATCGCTATTTAAAGATAAGGGTAGGCTGATGGTAACACGCCATTGATCTGCCCCATTACATTTATTCTGTAACAGTTCTTGGATCTTTCACCTTAAAATCATGAATTAAACACAGGGATGGCATTGCTTCTTGAGCCCGAAAATCTGCAAAGGCCTTAATATAGGCCGTGGAAGCAGAGCTAGGAAAATACCAGCTATATTTAATTTTGTTTTTATTTTCAATTCATGTTCTTGGTGTTCAGAAAAAAAAAATGTTTCTTTTGTTTGTTTCCACCCCAGATCTTTTACAGCATGCTCTATTTTGAGTCTGTGATTTAATTTTAGATCAGAATTGAGATTGGGTTGTTTGTAGCAGACTGACAAGCTCCTGGCTGTGTCTCCTCAGTGTCTGGGAAGAGAGGATTTGTTACTGGTTGGGTCTCTGAGACTGAATCCAGTCACGGCCTAGTGGGTTTCATGATGAGAACTGGTTGTCTCTAAGGGGCCTCGTGGTCTGTGAAGGGCTTACACGGAAGGGAAAACCTCTGTTTTGAACCTCGTCCCCAGATCACCCCTTCTCAAGGTATAGAATGGTGATTTCAATTTCTAGTTAAAATACCCACGTTGTCATAGTGTTAGTTAACCCTCTTCATTCCTATCATTAATGAAAGATGAATGTATTCGCTGTGTGACCACCTTCTCAGAGAATGTCTTGACTCTAGCTTTAAGACCTTGGGATCAAGATCTAAAGCCTAAACAGTTAAGAAAAATAAAACTACCCACTTGCCGTTCTCAGTAACCAGAAGATGGGGCTTACAACTTCGATAGCCGATATGTTCGTCAGCTAGCTATCTGTCCACCCTCTAGCTCCACCATTGACTTTGAAGTGGCAGTCTTTTTCATTTTTCAATGTTTTCAAGTCTTGGGGGTCCTCCCAGAAGTGGTGCTGCTGTAGGTACAGCCCAGGACCAGTAGGTGGTGCTGTGGGGAGCTCTGGGAGCCCAGTCACAGCACAGGTATGAAAACCAGGGATTGATTAATCCGCACCACCAGTGTTTGTCTCTCTGTGAGAAACCCACAATGCAGACACCGGCCTGCACCCGTCTCCTCTTCTGTTTTCAAATCTTTTGGGCATTTTCCTGGAGAATGTTTTCTCTTTGAGAGCCCTCTAATGTTCTGGATGTTCAGTAAACATTGCTTATGAAAATCATTTCTATACTCTGCCCTTTTGTCTCTCCACCTTAAACTTAGGTGGAATCACCTAAGCCAAGAGCCTCTCCAGCTCCCCTCGACTTTTTGTTTTTCTGATATGCATCTTCAACAGAGAAAAATAAATGACAAGGTGCCTATTAACAGTTTGAATTAATTCAGGGAAGCCTGTCTTAGGGTCTGTGCTCCCCCCCCCTCTTTTTCTTTTTATTGTTATTGCTTCTTATCTTTTTTTTGGGGGGGGGGAATCCTGGCATGTTGTAATGAGAGTTGATGTCAAGGTGATGACTGAATTTATTCTGTCCTGCTGGGATCCAGGCTGTGTGAGCACCCAGGCTAGGAAGTAGTAAGTGCACACAGGAGAGGGTTCTCTGGCCCCTCATCGGTTATCTCTGAAGGCCAGTTCTACCAGCAGCTTATCTCTAGACTTTCTCTTACTCCTCTAACAGCCAATAGCTTTGCTGTTATCTGCTTTCTGTGAGCGAATCGCATGCCTCATCCGTCTCATAGCTAATAAACAGCGAGATGTGTGTAAGTACCAGAGCCCAGGGAGGCAAAGCCTTTGCTCCCCTTAGGCGGCTGGAGCTGCCTGCTCCTTTCTCCTCGGCTTTGGTATCAAGAAATCTCATCACTCAGTGATGGGGTCTGGGTTTTCTGGTTAGCGCTTGGTCATCAAACAGTCCAAAACTAGTAGAAATTCAGCTTTTTTTTTTTTCTCTTTAGCCCCAGAGGAATGTCATAATACATGACAAAGGTGACCTGCTTTAGGAGGTGAGGATGCAGCTGAGTGTCTTTGAATTCGATAAAAGGCTAGTAAAGATGGCTGAGCCATTGGGTCTGTTTGGGGTGTCTGCTCATGATAGCCCTAACTCTCCATTTAGCCTTATGACGTCCCCTCCCACCGTGAGCTTGTTTATGAGGATCGCTTTCATCTGCTAGATAGGACGGTGAAGGTCGAAGCAAATCTCTGCTCTGTTTTACAGTCCCTGCATATTTTTTTCGACAGTTGAGGCAGACTAACTTAATGGGGTTTTGTTTGTTTGTTTGTTTTTGTTTTTGATGGCTGGTGTTTCTGAGTCGACCACCTTACAGGAACACAAATAGTGATATAAACAAGCAGTACTCGGGGACCCCTGAAAAGAGCTGGTGACCCAGTGTTGGCCTGCTGTCCCCAAAGCTTTAATGCAGCCGTGACTCTGGGCCATGAAAGGTCTCACGTGGGATGATGGACATGGAGAAACTGAACGATAGCTGTGGGAATGTATCCTCTCACCGTCCATACCAATACGAGCCAACCTTTTCTCCTCGGCCACCGTCCTTTTTCATCTTGTTTGTAGACGACTTGGGCAGGTTTCTTAATGAAGCTCTTGCGATATGAAATTAATAAACGCATACAACCCATCTGCCTCTTTTGACATCTTCGGCTTCTTCCTGTGCATGAGAAGGGACTGAGGAGGAGCTTAATCTTTTTCACGTGATGCAGTTTCTCTCATGAGTAGACATATCTCCTGTGTATAAGATATATCTCTTTTGAGCTTTGACCTCCCTCCCCTCGTCTCATGAGGGAGCTACATAAGGACTTATACTTATGAGCCTTGATTACCCCTCCCCCTCCTTTTAAAGCTTAGTAGCCAAACAAATTGCTTCCTTTTTTTCTCTCTCCCAGCATTGGGGGGGGGGGGGTCACAATAACACAATTTTCAGTTGCTGCTAGAGTGGGAATTTTAAAATTGTAAACGTTTTGGATACAGACTCAAAGAACACCTCAGCTCGAGGAAACTGTCATTTAGCAGACTGATTTCTGGAAGAGTCGTAAGAATTCCATGGTGGGGTTTGTGCACCAGGCCAAGATCAGTGTGGTTTGAAATTGTCCAGTTCCAGATAAGCACTTTGAAAACACAATCCTAAGCCATCGGGATTTTCGGGTGTTTGTGTTGTAACGAAAAGCAGGTTTTTTTTTTTTTTTTCCCTCCTCCTGACATTACATGGTTTTTTCACCTTTTTAGATGTCTTCTTAAAGAAGGATCATGGGTAGTATTTCAAAATAACCCTTCTTGCCAATGATGCTTTGGTTCCATAAACTTAGTAATAAAAAAGAAATAATTATACAAAAGAATATAGTTAATATCTTCTCTTATTATGGTTACTATATTAAAAATTGTTTGCAGAGATTTATTGTGTGCCAGGAATTTTTTTTTTTTTTTTAATAAACACTAGCCAGGAAAGACGTAGTTAGTCCCTGCCTGTTCCTGGCTTGTATTATGAATTGCTTTTCCTTTAACTCTGAGTCCTGTAGCTATGATTCAGTATCTGACAAAGGCAATTTAGAGGAGAAAGATTTATTTGGCTCAGAATTCCAGGGAAGTCGGAGAGGCACAGCCTGAGGCAGCCGGTCACATTGCAACTACAGCTGGAAAGCGGGAGGTGGGAGCTTCTCCTCTGGCTTTCTCCATCAACGCAGTCAGGAATGGAAGCCTGGGCAATGGTGCTGCCCTCATGTGCGGTCCGTCTCCCCGCCTCATCTGACTGTAGATCAAGTGCCTACTTCACAGTCACGCTCAGAAGCCAACCTATCCTCAACAAGCCCTGTTGGTGTGATTGAAGCGCTTTGCCTTGGCTATTCCAGACCCTGTCAATCAAAACTAACCTCAGGAGGCTTCAGAAGGCAAACTGAGGAGACAGGCAATAAACTAAATCAGTGGTGTTTCAAAGCTGTGACCCTGCAATGCTATTCCTCATGTTGTGGTGACCCCCAATCCTAAAACTATTTTCATTGCTGCTTCATAATTGTAATGTTGCTACTTCTACGAATTTTACTGTAAGTGTCTGATATGTAGGATACCTGCTATGTGACCCTGAAAGAGGTCTCGGTCTGTGGGTTGAGAACCACTGAGTTAAGTGAATATACAAAAACCCAACTTAAAGGAATAACAAGTATGGCTGGGAATGGTGAGGGCTTACCACCTGGGCTGTGTGGCTTTAGAGAGTCTCACTGAGAACTCTAGTGAGTGTGATCATTAAAAGCAAATCAACAAGGCAACATTTGAAGGACGCTTGATCATAGGGATGGCTTATGCAAGGGCCCTGTGATAGCCAGAACTCCTTCTACCCTTGTAATAAGAAACAAAGGAACCAGGTCACCTGGTGGCGTTGTAGACCACAGTCTCTGTCTGTCTCTCTGTCTCTTTTTCTTTCTTTTTCTCTCTCTCTTTCTCTCTCTCTCTCTCTGTGCTCACATGTGTGCATTCCATTTACTCTGTATGTAAGGAGCTGCTGGATTGATCCTGAGGGGACCTGGCTTTAATGTCCCC